TAGTATAGTTAATATACATTGGCATATTTATATATTAATTGATTTTTGAGTGCACTGTATGTTAACAATATATATATATTTATATAAATTAACTTATAATAAATGTATCAACTGATTTCTCCCTTGAAAAGCACTAGAGAAAGCAGGTATGGGCATAAAATAAAAATCATTGATAAGTCAGAAACAACATAAAATATTTTGTATTTCTTAATTAAAGAAAACTATGAATTTTACCTTCAGCATTTTCTTGATAAGCTTGTGAATTTTGTAGTTAAGGTGGATACTTATATATTTATATGGACATCTGCCAAAATCTAGCAAGTAATTTGTTTTTACTTTTGTTTTCTTTAATACAGTTTCTTAATGCACATCTGATATAAGTTCTTTGTATTATTAGTAAAATCCAATATTGTTTTAATTAATAAATTTGCTTTTGCCTGGTACAGAAGATTTATTTTAGATTTAAGTCTCTGGTCTGGCTTCAATCCCAGAATATCCTGATTTCTAAACAAACTGCAAAGTGTATCATATTTAATCATATCATGATTAAAAAAAACTACTATCTTCACTGTGGATCCTGAGCCATATTAATCGCTCTCACAGCTCCATTTATTTCATTGGAAGTTATATTTCTTATTTTAATATACTTGCCATGCTCTGTGTCAGTGCAAAATATGAAAAAGCATATATGTAGAATGAAACACTGTGCTGATGCAACTTTCATTATTTCATATCTGGTCCCGGAGTCTGGTTAAAAAAATACATTGTAGCCGCAACCCAGACTGAAAAAATGTTTCAAGAAAAATATTTCAAGAAATTTGAATAGTTTCCCTATGGAGAAATATCACAGATAACTGGGTAAATGTTTATTATTATTATTATTATTATTAATCAGATAACACTTTTAAAGGCTGTAGCATGCATTGTTTTTTTTTTATAATGCTGAGTTTCCTATCATAAAGTAAATTCTAAACATTCTCGTGGACCAGCTCCAGGTATTGTCTGATGCAAAAGATAAAGAAAGGAGCCTATAGACTTTTTAAGAGCAAAGGTTTCCCTAGAAGATTAGACATTTCTCCACTTTCTCTACTTTTGCTATTAAATACTGAACTACTTTGACCAAATTTTCCACCTTTAAAGAGCAACTAAGCTTGGAACATTTTGGTGCAAAAAGAGTTTCAGAAAATTATGAATAAGACCAAACAGGAACTCTAATGTTGTAAAATTGGCACCCTCCACTGTTTTCGATTAAAATTCATGACCTCACTTCTATATTTTCAAACCATTCTATAACTGAGATTGCAGATGGTGTGCCAGACTTCTTTTACAGTGACTTCTGGAAGCCATTTTCTTCTCTATCTTTCAGGGCTAAATATTGTTCATAGTTTTTAAAGGCTGAATTCAGCCTCTGCTTCTATTTTAGATCACAAACTTATTTCACTCTTCATTCAGATTCTCTGTTGTTGTTCTAAAATGTTTGTCCTACAAACTATCTCATTACAATATTCCATATCAATAATTTCTGTGGAGGTATAAACACAAGATCATTTCTAATCATATTCTACTGGAGAGATCTGCTGAAGTCTCAAGTGCTACTTTTCAAATTCCCCGTTGCTTAGGTTGTTCAGGAAAGTGTCTCTTGACCAGCAGTGTGATTCTTTGTCAGGAATATGTAAAAGTAGCTGTAAAGTTTTGCAGGTCTATTCTGGCAAAACAATCAAACAAAAAAAAAAAAGAATATCTAAGCAATCTATTACAATTATTACTGCTATGATTTTCTGAGCTCACTGTCAGGATTAGAAAGCAAGGAAAAATGCACATACTGGAAAAATCAGAAGAATACATCATGCCATGGCATAGATATTTGTCTCAGAAGTCTGTTGGTGACTTGGAAAATATCAGATTATTTAGATGACTAAGTGAAATGTGCAGCTATTTTGACAAAGAGATAGCAGGCATGACATGCAAAAGAACCCTTAAGTGTGGGCAAGCTATGTCCCAAATGGTTAAGTATGTAGATTAAAGCAAACACAAAATAGCGGGTTGTGCCTGCTAGTGGAGTGGAGGAAAAGCAGACAAGTGAAAGCAGCAAAACAAGTTAGGTGTTGGGAACTATAAACCTCTCTCTCTTTCATTTTCAGTTGTACAACAAATGTGGGGCTTAATACACTACTACAAGTACTGCCTACTACCAATGCACAATTTACTGAAGAGACGTGGCAAATATGAAAAGCCTTGAAGAATGGCATGTTCCATTTTGTTTCCAACTAAATATGATAGCATATGAAGAGGGCTGAGTTCCAGATGAAAAATCAAGTTGAAGTCACATAAAAGTGCACATTGGCATATGAAAATAGAGGTCTACTATATGGCTCATTCTCTGTTAAAGCTCCCTTGGGGTTTAACACCTTCACATGGCAGAATTGATTTTCGATCTCAGCCCTTCCATTGCAAACTCTTATCAACACTCAAACAACTCCTGCCTTCTAAACCATAGCCTTTATCTCAGCCTTAAGCTTAACTGTGGGCTGATATGCAAATCTCTGAATTCTGCATTTTTCAGGGAACATTCATTTAAGGAATTCTTGACACTGTCCCTTGAGATTTGTTCTAGCACACCTACCATCTCTGGTGGCCAAACCTTCACTTATTTACTCATATATTAACACTTTGACACACTTCTGCACTGCAGCTCGGTTAGAAACCACGGGTAAGTTTAAATGTCGAAGTACCTGCAGCGCCGTTCCTATCTCTTGCCTTTAGCCAGTACTGCTTGCTAGGGGAGCCCCGGCTGCTGCAGCCTCTTCCCTCTACTACTGATGCCAGCGGCGGGGCGGACGGGGTTTTGGAACGCGGGGCGGTAACGGTTGCCCAACGGCCGTACGGCGCATGATGGGTGCGGGCGCGCATGTGCGGGGCGGTGCCGG